TGACCTATTTTTTTCCTCTTTGAAGTCCATGGTATGTTCAACACTCTTCTGCAGTACCACAATTCAAAAGCATTGATTCTTCTTCTATCACGTTTAGTAATTGTCCATGTCTCAGATGCAAATAATTGTGAAGACCATGGCCTGGATCATGTGCACCTTAGTCTCCAGACTGACACTGTTGCTTTGTCAGTACGCTAGAGAGGTCCCTGACAGCAGACTTTCCTTCTGCAATTCATTTTTGGTTGTGGAACCAAGCAAACTGAAGTTAGCAACAACCTCAATTTCTTCTCTGTCCATCATGAAGCTGCTGATCTACTATTAAAAAAATACTGACTTACACAAATACCAGACTTTCATGAAAAGTTACAAGTAAATATAACACAAATTCATTTTATTTTCCAAAACCAAAAGTTTACTGTGGAATTTTGTGACGACAAGGATCAGTAGTCAATCAATCCACATTTTTAAGTAAGTTTGCGATTGCCATGTCTTTTTTATCCCTAAAATATTAGAATATTTATTTATGGTATAAAAATCTGTACAGCTAAGAAGCTCATAGCATGAAAATTGAAACTAAGAGTAAAACAAAAACACATATAACTTCTGTTAACCAACTCACAAGTAATGTACTTTAATGATTTTTGCAATATATTTGTACAAAATTTCTATTTGAAATATTTTATTAAGATTAAATTCATGAAAGAGATATTGTTATAGATAATTCTTGACGACCTATTGTAGTACATATTAAAATAAGCTATGCATTAGTTGTTGGTCTTAGTTCAATAATATATTAAAATTAAAGTGTTTTTAAAATGCTGGCAGAGATCTAGTACATTCTGTGACGTTCTCGTAATTTCACAAAATATGAGATCAATTTTTAAAAGGCTTCATAGTAAGTATTACTAGACCCCAGAATAGCATTCATTGTATCTATAATCATCTGCTATTATTACTGCATGTTCTTGAGTCAGAACTGATCATAGCTGATCCTCCAGTTGGATTTTAGAAGCTATGAATTGCAGGAAAGAAAATGGCGAATCTTTCTCCATAAGAGCAGCGGGTGCCTTTAAATTGCCTGCCTTTGAAATGTGAGTGCAACTCCTTATCCACCAGGCCATCAGAGTTACCATCTATTATCAAATGGAATATCCTTTAAAAAAAAAACCGAAACAACACAGTATATATTTTTTTGCGTCTTAAATTTGAACGTAATTTTTAAAAAATTACTGTTTTTTTTACAAAGTTCATATACATTGATTTCCACACCAGAGCTTTCCCATTTCTTCATCCACCTCTCCCTCAAATTGTGTGACCCTATGATTATCACCCATCCTCACCCTCTGCACTCCCTTACCCCCACCTTACCTCCACTCATTCTACAATAATGGTCTTATACAGTATTTGTCCTTATGGGACTGAGTTAATTCACTTAGCATATTTTTATTGTTATTATCACTTAGCATTATTTTATCGTTATTATTATTATTATTCTCTAATGTAGATCTTGAAAATATGCCAAAATCATGAGAAAGTAAAAGTGAAGTATAAAAACTAACTAGGGAAAAGAAATGGAGTTGAAAAAAATGAATATTTAAAAAAAAATACCACATAGGAAAAAAAACCTCAAAAAATGGTTTGCACACAGAGTTAGTCTTAGATGGTTAACAAAGATGAGAATCAAGGAAGAAAAGAGTAAAAAATAAGTGATTTTTTAAATTTCAGAATTTAAAATAATTTTTAATTCATCTTAAAGTCTATTTTAGGGTACCCTTCTCTCTATATTTTTAATGGAATGAATGTAGAGGAGGAAGAGGAATGAGCAGAAATGTGGTACTAAAAAAATAAATCCAAACTCACTGCTAAGTTGGAATCAACTCATAGATGATCCTCCAGTGGTTTTTCAAAGGTTGCAAATAACATGGGAAGAGATTGCTTATCTACCTCCATGGAGGTATATTATATGATTCAAACTGCCTACCTTTATTGTGGCAACACAACTCTCTCTTAACCTTCTTAGGGGAGGAATTTGTGTAGCATCTTAGAATCTGAAGACTCACTAATCTGAAATTCAGGTAAAGAAGATGTTAGAACAAGATATTTACATACTTTAAAAGAGACAGATTGCTAATTTTAAGGCAAAATAGACATAAATGAATATAACATTTAAAAGACGTTGCAATCCAGTACTCTGGAGTGGTCCCTGACAGCGAACTTTCCCAATGCAGTTCTTCTTTTGATTTCCTGGCTGCTGGTAGAACGTTGATTGTCAAGCCAAGCAAACTAAAGCTTTGTTAATAATCTCAAACTCTTCACCATCTATCACAGTGATGCCAATTGACCCAGTGGCGTGAATCTTTGTCTTCTTAATGTTGATCTTCAAATACACATTGAAGGCTGCAGTCCTTGATCTGCAGCATGCGCTTCAGGTCCTACTAAGTTTCAGCAAGCAGGATTGTGTCATATGCTGAACACAGGTTGTTGATAAATCTTCCTTCATTTCTGATGCCACATTCCTTCTCATACTGTCCAGCCTTCCAGATGATCTATTCTTCATATAGACTGAAAAGGTATGGAGACCAAATACATCCTGGTGTAGACCCTTCCTGATTTTGAGCCATGCAGTGCCTCCTTGCTCTGTTCTGATGACTGCATCCTGGTCCAAGTATAGGTTTCGCATAAGCACAATCAAATGATTTGAGATTCCCATTCTTCTAAGAGTCAGCCACTAGAAGGCACATAGCAATAAAAACAACAATTTAAAAGAGGCAAAAACTTAAAAATTAATGCATACTTGAAATTAAACCTTTTAGAAATAACTATTTTGAAAAGAGAGACCTAACCTATTATACAAGTAGTACATAGAGATTGAAGAAAAATAGAAGATATTATTATGATTAACATGATATCACGTATCATGTAGAAGAAAAGAAAAAATTAAGACCTGTGTCAGTGACTTAATTTTAAAAACGATGGATTTATTTCAAGGAAAAAAAGTCAATGAAAATATTTAAGAATCATATATTATTGACCTTCTTAAAATACCAGGATAAAATATCTTTTAATTTATTCCATTTTTTAATTGTGATTGTAGTGAAAGTTTACAGAAAAGTTGGATTTTCATCCCTCCATAGTTTCACATTTCCCTGCTACCCACCCCTTTGATTTTTAAAATGTATGTTAAAGCATGTTCATAGTGAGAAGAGGCCCTGATAATGTAGATATTTTGTCATACTCTATGAGTTAAAATACAAAAAAATATTAAATTGCCCAATGTTTAACTCACAAGATATTATTGAGCAAGTCCAAGGTATATGAACATCTGATCATTTTAGGAATGAATATGTATAATATTAATACCATAACCATTGTTTCACTATGCTTTAATTTAATCCAAAATTGCTCTCAGTACTTATCAGGGAAAACATACAAAGTTTAAGCTATGTAACAGGACCTTTTCTGAAAAAAGAATGAGATAAATTGAAGAATAAAATGCTGAAATAAGAGTACATACTGGTAGTTAATAAGAAGAAATACATATGACAAATTCTCAGAGAGTGGTCATCTAAGAGAAAATATCCTGAAGGTAAATTTTCAAATTAAATAATAAATTAACAAAATATTAGTGGAATAAGTATAGACAAGGATACTTTTCCTACCTATGTGCGAAGAATTTATAATTATATGTAGATTTTTTCAATGTTCTGATAAAATTACAGATGCAAATTGTTTTTAAATTTTCTGGTCATCAGTTAATGATGTGTTAATGATATAGCATTTTATTGTGTCAAGATATAGGGACATCTGTTTTAACTTAAGTTTCCTGGAAAACTTCAATTCAAATAAATTTCTTTTGCATGTAGTAACTCACAGAAATGCAAAACATCCATTAATTTTATATTTTATGCCATTACTTAGAAATAAATTATACAAGTAATGAAAGTAAAGGAGCAGAAGGCAACATAAAGCTGTTTTCTACTGATCATTCCACAACTTATATTTCAGTTTATCATATACTGTGATGGCATACGTGTTTCCTTGATACTGAAAATTATGACATTAGTATTGAAAATATCTTCAGAGACTTCCAGGATGGACAGATTTCAACAGTGCTTCCAGCCTAAAAACAAACAAACAAAAAAAACAGTGCTTCCAGCCTAAAGGAGATTAGGGAGGAAAGCATGACCATCTATTTCAGAAAATTAGCCATCTACTTAAGAAAGTCCTGTGTGTTCACCACAAAATATGCTGAAAGATGGGACTTGTAGCTGTGAATGCAACAAGGGACTGAAATTTGCTAGTGATCATGAGGATGATTGGGGTTGGGCAGAGCCTCCTGTTGTGCATGAGATTTTCTTGAGACAGAGCAAACAGCAAATTAAAAAAATTATGTGCTCTTACTGCCCTCGAGTCAGTTCTGAGGTACAGAAGCTCTCTTTTGAGTTTCCAAAGCTGGAATCTGTTCACCTTTCCTCCTTGGGGCCACTGGTGGATTCAGACTTCCAGAGACAAGCACCTTTTGTGTCAGCAGTGCAACTTGCTATGAACTGCACTACTTGGTCACTCATTGCCTTGAAGTTGAAGCCCACTCATAGATGACCTTCCAGCTGGTTTTTGTGAGGGTGTAAATCACATGGGAGAAGACTGACACTTTCTTCCTTGGAGAACAGATGGATTAGAAAAGCATCACACTTTGTTGAAACTGCGTCATACTTGACGCTCTAGCAGGTTTTCAGAGGCTGTAAATCACATGGGAGGTAACTGCTTTTTTTTCTCCTGCAGATCTCTTGGTGAATTTGAACTGTAAGCCTTTGAGTGACAGGACAGTTCCTTCCTATAAGGCCACCAGAGCTCACTCAATTAACAGCTAAAGAAGATAAAATTGTATAAATGTGGGACAAGAAGCTAACTTTGGTTTATATCTTCAGTCATCATTATTCTCTGTGTTTTAAAGAGTTCATTTGCCTTTGCCTCTTCTGTCCAAAGTAAAGTATCCAAAGATGCCTAACGGTACCACAGTGACTGAATTCGTGCTCACGGGATTTTCTGACGTGTGGGAGTTTAGAGTCTTGCATGCCATGCTATTCTTACTGATGTATTTGATCACTCTGATGGGAAACTCTCTCATTGTCGTTGTCACTACTTGTAACAAGAGTCTTCACACCCCCATGTATTTCTTCCTTAGAAATCTGTCTGTTCTGGATGTGTGTTATATTTCTGTCACTGTACCCAAGGCTTGTGTCATGTTCCTGCTTGACAACAGAGTGATCTCTGTGGTTGGATGTGCAGCTCAGATATTCCTTGTGGTTCTGTGTGCTTCTATAGAGCTACTCTTCCTCACCATCATGGCCTACGACCGCTATGTAGCCATCTGCCAGCCCCTTCACTACCCTGTGATTATGAACCCTCGTGCGTGCATCCAGATGACACTGGCCTCTGTATTCAGTGGTTTAACATATGCGGGTATGCACACTGGTAACACATTCCGGTTGTCCTTCTGTCAGTCTAACGTGGTTCATCAGTTCTTTTGTGACATACCCTCTCTACTGAAGCTTTCTTGCTCTGATATCTTCATTAATGAGGCTGTAATTTTCTTCTCTGCAGTGGTGATTGTAGGTGGTTGCTCTACTTTCATCATCATGTCTTATATTCGCATATTTTCTACTGTGTTCAAGTTTCCAACCAGAGGAGAAAGAAGAAAAGCCTTTTCTACCTGTATCCCTCATATTCTTGTGGTGACAGTCTTTGCCAGCTCAGTGAATGCTGTGTACATGAGGCCAACCTCCGACTCACCTACAATTCAGGACATGATCATTTCTGTGTTCTATTGTATAGTCCCTCCTTTCCTAAACCCCATTATCTATAGTCTTAGGAACAAGCAGATAAAGGAGGCTGTCAGGAGAATTATGAGTGAAATATTCTATTCAGAAAAAAAGTAAAATCATTATGTTAAGACATTTCACTGATATTAGATTCCCTGTCTACTTTCAAACTGAAGGAACCTGACTTGATATCTAAATGAGAGTCAATATAGTACATGTCATCAAAATAACTAAGAGATAGCATTTCATCCCAGTAAGAATAGCAAAATTCAGCATAACAGCAAACAACAAATGCTGGAGGTTGTGGAGAAACTGGAACCCTTATTCACTGGTTGTGGCAGTGTAAAATGTGCAACCACTGTGGAAAGCAGTATGGCACTTTCTCAAAAAGTTAGAATAGAATTACCATTTGGCCCAGCAATTCCACTACTGGGAATATACCCTCAAGAAAACAGAACTGCCACCCAAGCAGATATATGCACACCCATGTTTATTGCAGTTTTGTTCACAATAGCAAAGAATTGGAAACAAAAAACCTAAGTGCCCATCAACAAAAGAATGGATAGAGTAGCTGTGGTATATTCACACAATGGAATACTATGCAGCACTTGAAAAACAGGAACTTATAAGATATACAAAATGGGTGACTGTAGAGTACATTATGCTGAGTGAAATATCTCAGTCACAAAATAGCAAATACTGCATAAATGTCACTGCTATAAAACAAGACTGACATGGGGGTTGGGGGAAAACTAAGAAAAGAAGAAATAAATAATGTATACTACATTGAAACAGATGAGGGGAAGAACTGTTTAAAGGAATATATGATTAGGTAATATTTGCATGACAACAGTCCAGAATAAGCTGCATAACAAAGTGGACTGGAAGGGGGGGGTAGTTTTACAACAATAAAAGAAATTTTTTTTTCCAAAGAGAAATGTGAACTGGAGGCATAGGGAGGAAAATGTGCAACAATGAATGAATGGAAATTCAAGTTCTCTATGAACTTTCATACAAATATCAATTAAAATAAAAAATAGTGTATGTCAGCATAGAATGAATGTTGTTGGTATTAGTTACTGTAGAATTGTTCTGACTCATAACAAGTTTATGCATAAGAAGATAAAGTGTTGCTCAGATTTGTACCAATTTCATGATCATGGGTGTAGCAGAATCCATTGTTGCAACTATTATGTTAATGTATTTGATTGAAGATATTTCTGCCCTTAGTTTTCACTGAAATTCTACATTACCAAACATACAGATAGAAACTTTCAGATTTCTTTTCCCATAACACATATTCTCTAATGTCTGAAAAACATATGCTAAAGACTTTTGAAATTTTTTATAATTCTTTTCAGGATTTTCAAGAGCCCCAGAATATATTAACTATCTGCTGCATCACAGGCAATTCAACAAACAATAACATATTATGACAGGTTTGGAATCAGGAGTGACATCCACCTCCTAAACAACATGGCTCTGGAAACTCTGAACTTTGACAAATGTCGATAGTAGTAGAAGGCCTTCAGGCCTTTTGTTGATAGGTTCGCCTATGAGTCTTGCTCAACTCAAAGGCAATCAGCAACAATAACAACATTGATTGCCTTTTATTTTTTTAATAATGAGAAGAGAGTCATTTATTCAGACATTTATTTAAAATACAATAAAAATTATATAGAAAATATCTGAAAGCTAGTCATAAGAGTAACACTAAAATGTTCCTTTTTCCTAAATAAAACTTGAAGTATCTTTAAGCATTGTTGATAGGAAATATTCAAGATATTTTATGCTATGTTACATAATCAGTAAGGACAAATTTGCATAAAATTATTCACAATATGTAAATCATTGATTTCTTTAGAATTTTAGGAATAAGATTGTCAGAAGTTCTTTAAGCTAAGAAGATAAAAGATAAGCTTTCCTATGTTTCTTAGACTATCTCATACATTCTTTCAATATATTAAAAAGAAACCGTTTGAATATTTTTAAGTAGTGTTAGTATAAGTTGCTCCTAGATTAAGACTCAAAAATTCTATGCAGGTGTGTATCACTTAACCCAATTATTATTGTTTTTCTTATATATATCATTAGGTTGTAATCGATTCATTGCTGACTCTCCAGAGGATTTTCAGAGACAGTCAATCACACAGGAAGAGACTGCCCATCTTTCTCTTGTGGTGCAATTGGTGGGTTCAAACTGTATCACTTTAGGTTGATATTTAACTCCTTAACAGTAAGCCACTTAACCCTCCTTAACAATCACTATCCATTCTATCAAATAGAACATTGTATTATTTGGACATATGGTATAAGTCCCACAATAAAGTGTTAAGAGAGTTCACTTATAGATGATCTTTGTCACTGCTGCTGCTACTGTTACTGATGGCAACCAAAAGCACTATCAGAGACAGACAATGAGAGCAGAGCTAGATGAAGTGAGCATGGAGGGAGCAAAGAATGCCCTTTTCCACCTATTGTTTCCTCTACCTGAGAAGCAGGAGCAGCCTAGAGCCTCTGCTACCATCACCATTACCTGCCATTGGACAAAGCCTGAGAACCAATGACTAGAGCTATGCCTTTTCCCTAACCTGCCAGATTCTCACCTGTGACCTAATACTGTGAGAATCTGAGTTTGGGGTCTTTAGAGGGTCTTATCTGAAATGTTGTTGCCTATTCTACCTCCACCGCAGTCTGTGGGCTTTCTTTTCACCCTTTTGGAGAAAGTTTTTTATGCAGACAAGTATTTTCTTTTAAGAAGTTCCCATGCATCGGTTTTATCCTTCCCAGGTTGTGCATTTTAGTTATATTTACAAACCTATCTATGCCATTGGAGAGGGCGCCTAAATTTGATCCCATTTTATCTCTTATGATGATTACTGGTTTTGACTTTGCCCCTAGAAAGGATCTCACAACTAAATTTGCAGAAAACTACAGGCCTTCTACAAGAAAAAGACTAATAATCTAATCACAAAACAGAAAAAAATACATGACAAGACTTCACAAAGGAAGACATTAAATAGGCCAGTCACAACACTTATTATCAGAATTTAAAGTATTTTGTTATATTGGAGACACAGTTACCAGAAGCAACACAATCTTTAAAATTACTCATTTCAATTTATTGATCTATATTTTGGAGACAATATTGTGACTATTCTCACTCTAAGGATTGGTGGCGTAATGGCAAGAAGCTACACTGCAGTCCTGAAGGCACTCGGCTGGAATCCAGCAGCCATGATTAAATGCCTCTGAAAACCCACCAGAGTGTCAGCTTGGGTTGGTTCCAATGTGACAGCACACAACACCAACAACAACAAGCAACATCTACCAGCACTGTGACTTCGTTTACTTCTGAGATTGCTCATTTCACACATACAAAAATATTATGCAGTGTATGAAACATAATGTGAATAAAGAATAGTGTAAAACACCACCTGTACCAACTTTGTATCCAAACCAATTAAAAAAAAGAAACACGCACAACCCATTATGTAGCATTTGCTGTGAAATAATACTGAATGTGACAGTTTCAAGTCGGCTAAATTGTAATACCTGAAGGCTCTGAGCTGTGGTGCTGGAGAAGAATGTTGAATATACCATGGACTTCTAGGAGAATAAACAGGTTTGTCCTGGAGAGGATGAAGCAAGAATGTTCCTTGGCGTCAAGGATTCTGAAGCTTCGTCTGACAGACATACTTTGGACGTGTTGCAAGGAAGGACTAGTCCTTGGAGAGCGATATCATGTTTGGGAGAGTGGAGTGACAGTGCAGGAAAGGAAGATCCTCGATGAGATGGATCGATTCAGTGATTGGGATAATGGGAGTTGGTGTGTCAGAGACAGTGAGGTTGGCACAGGATAGAGTAGGGTTTAAGGCTCTCGTATATAGGGTCACTATGAGTCACAAGTGACTAAATGGCACATAACAACAAGTGTTTGATCAAACACTAAACTAAATGTTGCTATATAAGTATTGTTTTAAAGAGTTTTAAATTTAAATAATATAAATAAACAAACAAACAAATATTTAAATAATAAAGAGTTATGATGTCCATCTCCAAGGACTGGTCTCTCTTTACAACATGTGCAAAGTATGTCAGATGGAGCTTCAAAATCTTGGAGCACCAAGGAATGGCCAGTTTCACCCTCTTCAGGATGGAACTGTTTGTTCTCTTAGCAGTTGATGGGATATTTCCTACTCTTCTCCAGCACCACAACTCAAAGATAGCCATTCTTCTTCTTTCCTCTTTACTCATTGTGGAGCTCTCTGATGCATAGCAAGCAATTGTGAAGACTATGGCCTTGTGAATGACATTGTTGTTCTTCAGTACTCTGGAGAAGTTCCTGACAGCATATTTCCCCAATGCAATTCATCTTCTGATTTCCTAGCTGTTGGTACCAAGATTGTTGACTGTGGAGCCAAGCAAACTGAAGCTACTAACAAACTCAATCTCTTTGTTGTCTATTATGATGCTGCCAATTGGCCCACAAGTTAGAAGCTTTGTTTTCTTGATGTTGAGCTTCAGTCCATATTGAAAGCTACAGTCCTTGACCTTCTGCAGCAAATGCCTCAAGTCTTCATCCGTTTCGGCAAGCAGAGTTATGTCATTTGCATAACTCAGGTTGTTAATGAGTGTTCCTCCAATCGTAATACCACATTTCTCCTTATAAAGTCCAGTCATCCTCCCAAATGATCTCTTCTGCATATAGATTAAAAAGGTATGAGATAAGATGAATCTTTGACAAACACATTTCCTGATCTTGAACAGTTTGTTGTGATCCACACAGTCAAATATCTTTGCACAGTCTATGAAACAGAGTTAGACATTCCTCTGTACTTTCTGCTTTCAGCTAAGATCAATATAGGGTTGTCAGTAATAACCCAAAGCCACAGACTCTTTTAAACCCAACCTGCACATCTGGCAATTCTCTGTTGCTGTGCTGTTCCAGTCATTTTTGTATCATTTTCAGCAGGATCTTCCGTGCATGTGTTATGGAACAATTATTTCATAATTTCCACTCTCTGTTGGGTCACCTTTTTTAAGAATGAGAACAATATGGATCTCCTCCAGTCATCTGACAAAGTGATTGTCCTCTAGATTTCTTGGCACAACCT